GCGGGGGCGGAGCTGGCGGTGACGTGTAAAAAGACCATTGGCCTGAAAGCGGTCGGGTGGGAGGAGTCTGCCTCCTACACCTCCTCACTCTCTCCCGTGGGAGGGCCTGCGGTTCAGAGCCCGGGCTGGAGACATTACAAACTAGCAATGCCCAAATCAAGCGGGCATTGACAAAAAATTATAATTGGCGATTCCGAAATCAGAACAAAAATGAGACCCATTCTGCTCTGCCTTTATCACTCTCTGCCAGTCATGAGGCACAGAGAATAAGTCATCAAGTTGTGACTAACCTTTTAAAAGCGAATATAGGTTTGAATGTTTAACAAGCACCCAAGCACAAAAGCCGTTCCATCACGACATTCTACAAGACTGAGTAGGTTTTGCAGTTTCTTTTTGTTTTGGGACATGGAAAAATCTTGGATTGCTTGGGAGTTTTTACGGGCGTCGGTCATAAATATGGTGCAATTCAGTTTTCAAACAGCACGGACTGAGCAGATTCAGAAAGGAAATCAGAAGGTGTTTCTTTACACAAAGGGCTGTGGGGGGAATCCGGAACAAGTGTTATGGTACCCCAAATTCCTGACTATCGTACCCCGTGAAAAGAGCCTTCCTAGTAAAGACCGCCAGTGAATTAAAGAGAGGACGTCCTGCGGTGGCCCACGCTGCACCCCTGCTCACCATTGTCGTTGGTGCCGTTGGCGGTACCAGGGCCCGTCTGGGCCGGTAACTCTCCCGCTGGTGAAGGGGTGAACTGGCTGGGAGCTGGCGCAGGGGGTGCAGAGGGATTCTGGGGGCGCAGAAGCACGTTGCTGAAAGTGGGCGCCAGTCGGAAGCAGCGCTTGCTCTGGAAGAGCTGGGAGGACATGGCCTGCAGGTTGCTGGTTATGCTGGGGTCGCTGGCCAGGGAGGGGCCGTTGGAGGCCGGTGGGGCGGCGACTTCGTCGGGGGGGGACCTCCGGGGGTCCCCGGGGTCCGAGCCTCCCCCCTCTTCTCCGCCGTGGCTTTCTGCGTCTTCCATGTCCTCCAGGTCGGAGCGCGACTCCTGGCTGTTCATGTCCGAGTCAGTGTCCACGTCAAAAGCTGTGCCGCCTTCCTCTTCCTCCTCGGAAGCGCTCTCCCAGCCCCCTCCCTGGCCCTCCGGCGGCTGGGGCTTCCCCTCCCTCCCGGGCTGCGGGGCGCTGGCTGGGGGTCCCGAGCTCCCCGTCTCCCTGTCCCGCTCCTCTTCCTCCTCCTCCTCGTCCTCCTCCTCGCTCTCGAACCCCTCGCTCAGGTCGCTCTCGTCCTCCTTGCGGGCGTACCGGCGCCGACGCAGCATGGACAGCCGGGAGTATTTCTTCTGTTTCTTCTGCTGCTGCTGTTTCTTCTCCTCCTCTTCCTCCTCCTCCTCCGTCATCCCTTCTTTCGCCCGGCCTCCTCTCCCTCGCCTCTTCCCGGCTTCTCCCCCCTCCTCTCGCTCTTCCTCCTCCCCCGCAGTGCCGTTCTGCAGAACCCCCTCCTCGGAGGTCAGCCCCCCCGCTGCCTCTTTCACTTCCGGGTCATCTGCAGGCAGCCAGGAAAACAAAGGGGACAGAAACTCAGGGAGGGTTTAAAGCAGTTCTGCCTGCCACCTACTCCTTTTAAATAACTGGCGACCATGAACTTTAACGTGTCATGAATTTCAGCCAGCACTGAACAGACAAAATATTAAGGCCACCAACAAATTGCATGTTAAGTCTCTTAAGTCTTAAGTCTGGGTGTATTATTGCAATGTGACAGATTACCTGAAGATTTTAGAGCCCCATCTCTACCACCTAGGTCCATTCTGTGGGACTTACCTGCACAGTCCACTGGTTTTCAAGAGGACTGAGATCTGGGGATTTCCCTGGCCAAGGAAGACACTATAAGCATGCACTGCCTGCACTCTATTAATTTGACTGGGCGGGGGTGTACTAATATGTTGACCACTGTTACTATGAAGGACAAGTATCGCAATCAGATGACTGGTATCGCAGGCGTCAGTTTAATTGCAATAGCTTGCTCTTGGTATTATGTTACCTCAGTCCTCTGCTGACAGTGGCACCCATCTATGACTGGCCTGACACCACTGTCTCCCGCTGTCTTGCAACGATAGTGGCGCTAGTCCGCCCACCTGTGTCTGCCTCTGTCTCTCTCCCTCAGGCCCGCGCGGTCATACCTGTGTGGTCCGTGTGCAGCGGGGGCACCTGGCTGTCCCCCTCCTCCAGCTCGGCCTGCAGCCGGATGTTGACGTGGTTGACCAGGTGGGAGAACAGAGCCAGGGTGAAGGCGATGGCAGCGCTGTACTGCTTGGAGCCTGAGAGAGAGAGAGACACAGATGGATGGCACGTCGCCCGGGTCAACAAGGCGCCCTGGAAGGACCAAGGGCTGAGTCCTATCCCAGTACCACGAAGCCCCCCCACAAGAACGGGTTGAATGGAGAATTACGACTTGTGTCTGTGAGTACACAGACAACACATGACGACTTGGCCCAGGTCATGTCAGAAAAAAGTCTAACCACCCTCCAACACTGTCTGAGTGGTGTCTGCTGGCAGCAGCTCCGCAGAACCTCCAGGGCCGTGGTGCAATCGTCAGCGGACTACCACTGCCTCTGGTTTACCTTGGTAAATCTGCCCTGTATTTTGGCAACTGTAAAACTCACTTGGCTTCGACATGGGTTTGTACGATGCCTGGTTATACCTCTCTCTGAGCCATACTGCATGTATTTCATTTTCACTAAACCAGTTTTACACTGCACCCCCTCTGCTACACTTTACATCACCTAAACACAGTCAAGCCGGATTAGGATCTCCACCCCTCTGTCCCAGGACCCATCCTCCTGCTTCCCCTGCTGTCTCCTCTCTCCCCCTCACCCGTCTACTCCTCCTAACTTCTTAATCCCTCTCCGTCACGGCCCTTGTTCCACTCAGCCAGTCATTTCCTAAGTGTTTCATCCAATTCGGTGCTACAGAGGACCCGGAGCCTATCCCAGCAAGCAACGGGCGCAAGGTGAGACGCACCCTGGCCGGGACACCAGTCCATTGCAGGGTGGATACACGGACACAAGCCCACTCTCTAGAGCCGATTCACCCACCAGTATGTCTGTGGACTGCGGGAGGAGGCCAGAGCACCTGGGGGAAACCCACACAAACGCGGGGAGAACATGCAAACTCCACACAGACAGCACCCCAGCTCTGGAACTGAACCCAGGGTCCCAGCACCGCTAAACACTTTGCCACTGTGCCACCCAGCAGTCGTTGTCTTGACCTCCCCCCCCCCCGAATCAATGAATAATTCCCAAAGGAAGGAGCAGATCCCGGAGTCACCAGGGGCGATACTGGGAAGCTCAGTGCTGCCGTCTCGGTCACTGACCCGCCCTCTTCAGGCTGTGCACCACCATGAGGCAGGTCACGCCCATCCTGAAGACCAGGGTGTCGGGCAGGAAGGAGCAGCGGGCATCGTGGTCCTCCTCTTCCTCGCCAGCGGTGGGGGAGCAGTGAGGAGCCCCCGGCTGGTAGAACAGCACCAGGTTGAAGTCCTCCAGCACGGACTGGCACAGGGAGGTCAGCTCGGACTCCAGCAGGCTACGGCAGCAGCACGGGGGAGAAAGGGTTAAGGGCTTCACCGGCTGGACCCGATCCCCAGATCTACCAGCTGGGACAAATCAGACCGATCAGGCGGGGATTGCAAAGAGGAAGGCACTCGAGCTGACTTTTCCCCCCAGTAACAAAAATCTCACCAGTTTGACACTGGCAGAAGTCTCTCTGGGACCACACGTGAGCCATAGCACAGTATAGGAAAAAAACTGGCGATATGGGCATTGTTTCCACCAGCAAAGTCAGGCATCTTCCAGACTTCCGACATTAGGTCACATTAAATTGAGCTCTAAAACTGGATTAGCAGACAAGCAGCACGAGACCTGGTGACAAATAAGGAAATCGAGTCACCTGTGTTTCATCCTTATAGCCTTAGGATTCAGTGCTCAGCAGACATAAGGGCTGTAGCTAAGACAGCTCAAAGTAACTCTGATTCTATGTACCTGTGTATCATCGGAAATTGACTCGCAACCTTGTAAGAGTCATCTGGAGGTTTATCCCAGATGCATAGGGTGCAAGGAGAGAGGGTGAGCAGCCGGTCAGAGCTCAAAACCGTGTTTCTCGGTCATGGGGGTGGGGGGACCTCAAAAAACACCCAGCGAAAATCCATGCCAGCGCGAGAAGAGCACGCAAACTCCACACACACAGGCACCAAAGCCCAGGAGCAAACCCAGGAGCTTGTTGGCATAAAGTTTTAACTAGCTCCCCAAAGGGATTCCAATACATAAAGAAAAGGGATTCCAATACATGAAAACTGAACAGCCCTCGGAATTCCGGGAATGTCAACACCCATAGTTCCTCACGGAAAGCCCAGCGACAGCGTCTCCATCTCCTACCTGTTCTTGGGCTGCAGCAGACTCTGCAGGTACATGAAGCTCACCAGCAGACGTTTGATATCTTTCGATCTGCAGGGATTAAGGATATAGACGCATGTTATAACCATTCGCAACGCTGCTCAGAAGCAGTATAGCCGAGAATCTTCCAGAAGTGTCACCTACAGTCTTTTAGACTTAAGTTAATGTATTCTATAGACTGCTGTCCCACTATCTGCCATGAAAATGCCCTTTTTTTACAAGAGTAGTTTAAATAAGTGTTATACACACTGCTACCGACCAATATTTAAAAGTTGGTCGGTACTGACAGACAGCTAATCCACAGCGCAGTTTAAAAAAAGAGAATAGTATGACTGAGTGGAGAGGCCCATATTTTTACACAATTACAGTTCTTATACGCACAGTCTAGGTAACCTGCAATCTAGACCACCTTATTTCTTACTCATTTTCTAAGCATTTGGTTAGTTGACTTCAACAGTATCCGATTTGGCCTAAAAAATTAGCCCTACCCACTGCGAAGGGTCAGAAGGACCGTCACAGAGCCAGACCATCGCTTTGCTCTGTAAGCATTCGCCTCCAGTCAGCAACAAAGTAATTGTCCCCGCATCTGTGGTCTCTCAACAAATACCAACAAGTCTTAAAAACAGAGCGCCGTGCTGAATGGTTTCAACTTGCCGCCCAGGAAACAAGTTAAAAGGGATCAATTTCAGTCAGGGGAGACCATCAGTCACGCTGCTGAATGTTTCACAAGCCTCTTAAAAATTTAGCTTCTCAGGGAGAAGAAAAGCTTTCAACTTGTCTAATGAAGCAAAAAATGAGTTCAGTTCAGTAATCAGGGGTTTTGGCAGAAACAAAGACAAAAACCTTCTGGCCCTTCAGGACTGGAACTGTGCGCCCCAGGTTTAAGGTATTTAAACGCCGACAAGTCCTGCAGCAGTAAGACTTGCTGGGACGGGGCGGAGTGGTGGGACTGTGGCTCAGGATCTGCGCCTGTGGCTGGAAGGTTGCCGGTTCAAATCCCGAGGCCCTTAACCCCACCTGCTCCAGGGGCACCATATAAATGGCTGACCCTGCGCTCTGACCCCCAGCTTCTCTCCCTGTCTGTGTGTCTCATGGAGAGCAAGCTGGGGTATGCGAAAAAGACAAATTCCTAATGCAAGAAATTGTAAATGGCCAATAAAGTGATCTGATCTGACATCACTCCTCAGTCCAGGGTAGGATCGATAAGAACAGGGTTACTCAGAGAGAAACGGAGGGGTGTAAACGCACTCCTAATCCACACTCTGGGAGGCACTGATAGCCGGCACAACCGACAGCTTGGGGAATCAGCACAGGAAGGAAGGGCAGGCCAGAGGAGAGAGCCCCCCCCCAGGAAGAGTTGGAACAAAACTCCCGGCCACCCCTGTGGAAGGCTGGGAACGTCCTGACAGAAAAAAAAGACGGCAGGGCTGACATCCACAGCAGCAACATGGGCCCCTCGGCCTTGTCCTGCTCGGGGAAACCCCACGTGAGCTCAATAATAAAAACAAACAGGTTCTCCCACAGCACATCTCTTGGAGGGAGGTTAGAAAAAAAAAGGAGAGCCGCCCCTACCTCTGCCGAGCCGGAGAGAGCTTCTTCATCTCCTGCCTCTTCACCTGATGGTACATCTTGGCCGCCTTCTCAAACAGGCGCTTCAGGTTGCCGTAGGCGCCGTCAAAGGGCATCTCGGACTGGATGCTGCGAGGCACACAGGGACGCGCCAAGTCAGGCAAGGGCTGCAGAACTGCTCCACAGGAGCTGCAGGCTCACAAAACCCCCTAAAGCAGACTTTCCCGACACGTCAAAAAAAGACCAAGAATGTCCGCTGTTTCCCCCCCCCCTACAGGGAGTTGCACACAAAAACGGGGAATGGGCCCGTTTACTCGAGCTTCTTGTCCTCTGGGAAGCTGGGATGCTCAAAGAAAATAGACAAGAGGGAGCACTGATAAAGCCATGTCTTAACTCCAATCCAACACCAAATAACCATTTCACACAAAGGGCAGCCGTGTGTGCATTAAAGACAAAAGAGCTGCACAACCAAAAACAAGGTCTCTGTGAAAGATGGTAAAATATCCCACTACAGGGACCAAATCTAAGAGTATTTCAAAAGAGATGTTCAGGCCTGTGGAGAAACACAAGCCATGGTGTTGGCAGACTGATCCCAGATCAAGGCACCGGCAAGCACAGCTGGGATTCTGGGAGTGGCGGGGCTCAGCTGGCAGAGCAGGGCTGCGGAGTATGCCAGGGCACTCTCAGCTTTCAGTGGATCTGAAACCCCTGTGATTTGTCGAGCGCCTGCAGGGTTTATAGCGCCAACCCACCCATCAGGCTCTGCAGAGCTTGCGACGCGCCAAAAACACGGACACCCCCGACAAGCCAACATACCGGAGGTGGGGTGGGGGGGGGTGTACCCAACAGGCTTGAGGGGTCAGTTTGGACAGATGTATAACATGACTGGGGGATGAGAGGTGGGGAATGGCTGTTTTTTGCACTGTACTCTGAAGGGGTGTGGGAAATGAAAACCGATTCACGAGAAAAATAATCGGCGTCGACTGGAGATCACTCAAGATCCACGCCTCGCTCAGCTCAGTCTCGAGGGGACGGAGTCGCTCACCAGCGCAGGTAGTAGTAAGTGGCCTCCACGTTGTAGTACTTGCTCCCCGCCAGGGTGCCCAGCTGATTAAAAGGCATTCCTGGAACACAGCAGAACACACGCATTACCAGCACTGCGCTCAACTGCACCAGAGCCCTGGACTCCTCAGTCCCAGGGAGGGCAATAGAGAGACACTCTCGTGCTGCCTGAGCCAAAGCCATCAGTCTGCCACTGAGGCTCTGTCCCAGGGTTGTCCATCCCTCGGCTTTATAGTCCAGTCTTATAGGTCACCTGTTTTTAATGACTGGCAGCACCTGTGAGCTACGGATGAACCGATCAAGTCATCCGCTCAAGTGAGAGAACTCTGGCACTCGGGGGCTGAAGAGTACTTTGATTTCAGCCCTAATTGAGTTCTCAGTTCGTTTAACCACCTGCGTCATGGTCACAGCGGAGCTGCTCCATGTCTTGAGAAACTGGCGATTTAACAGAGATCTCCGCCACCTGCAGGCCTGGGGCTCTCCAGGACCAGGCTTGGGGATTCCCGGCCTGGCAGGTTTCACTCCTGATCCTGGTGGCCTGCCATGCCGATCGGCAGGTGTGTTTCCCCGTCGGGGACCGGACAGCCCGGAAGCGCTCCGGGGGCCGGGCCGGCACACTCACCCACGTTTGGCGTCACGGACAGCGCCTGCTGGTAGAACCGCTCGGCCAGCGTCTCGGCCTCCACGCCGGCCAGCTCGTTCTGGTAGCGCGCTGCGGGGGGGAGAAGGCAGCACAGGGCTCAGCCGGCTACCGCAGGCACACACAGCTGCTCAGGACACCGTACGGGTCCATCTGCTCTTAAAACACAGTCTAGAGAGCTACAAACAAAACTCCATTCATCCAGTACACTCCATCTGGTTCATCCAGTACAGGGTCACAGGGCCACCGGAGCCTATCCCTGGACAGGGCAAGCATCCCTGGACAGGACACACCGGAGAAACCTGAACACCTGGAGAAAACACCCACGCTAACACGGGAGAACTAAAACAATGCAAGCTCCACGCAGACAGCACCCCCAGGTCCAGAATTAAACCCAACTTAATGAAAAAAAAAACAACTTAATGAAATAAAACTCTGTGACGAGGAGCTTACCCAGGTCTCCCAGGTAGACCAGGCAGCGGTGACACGCGTTCTGCGCCCACTCCATCTCCTTGGGCGTCGCCGACACCGGCTTCTTCCGACCTGCAAGGCAAGCGACCGCGGACGCCGTTAGATTTCACCCACCCTGGTGCCCTGATCGGGCCTTGGGCCCACAAGGAGCCAGAAATCGGACTGGCAACGCCAAACACGTGCCTTGTGCCCGTTATTTGAACACCGCATAATTAACTCTCGAGATCCGCTCGCAAATGACTCAACAAGCGTGAAAGATGCAGTGCGTGGTGAAGGATTATGCAAATGCCTCTCACAGAAGGAAGCAATGTGAGAGTCTGTCTGCATCTCTGTGTTGGCCTGTCTCTGCACCTCCGGGCTGCCTGCGTGCCTGCGTCTGTGCAGCTCACCAATGAGGGGGTCGGTGACGTGTGTCCAGTCGATGCAGTCCTGCAGCTCTAGCTGGTAGTGGGACTGGATATAGAGTAGCAGGTGCTGGTAGAAGCCCACCCCGGCGATCAGGTGCGTCCTGTAGGCACACTCCAGAGTGCTGCGGCTGTGGATGTGCTGCAAAGAGGCAACGGTGGGAGAGAGACGCTGAGACAAAAGCCACTCCAGAAACACTGAGCTCTTCTGCTCCAGCAACAACGAAGGGCAGAAGCTGGAAAAAAGTCTGAGTTCAGGCTACTAAAAAGACCAAGTGAACAGCAGGAGCGCAGCTACGAAACTGCTGAAGAGAAAGAGTTAGGCAGCGATCAGATAATGGCACCCACACAAAACAAAACAGGTTGTTACGACTGTGAGAACTGCAGCTAAGACAACATTCTTTAGATCACCCACAAACCTGTTTTGAAAGGCCAAAACCCATCCTACAAAGCCTAATAAAATCCCACAATAATTTATCACAACAGGGAAGGCATTAATGATCAATTAGCAATTAGCCATTAATGATCAGAAAAGCAAGAACGTTAGGGGTTCGACACTGCAGCTTTCAAACTGTGAAATAATTAAAACTGCAATGTTTTTTGTGTGCAGGATACTGTAACTGTGACTGTAGCCTCAGAGAAGAGGGGGGCAAGATGGAGGTACCTTCTTGTTGGTCTTGATGACCTGGATGACCTCATAGTAGACCTTCCTCCAGAGCAGCTCCTCCCCTTTCCTCCCGTAATCCACCGGGTGCAGGAACATCAGCTTGACGCACAGCTCCCGCAGCCTGGACCCACGCGCACGGCCCGGCAGAGGAAGAGGAAGAGTCAGCTCATTGCAACAAGGAACTCAAATCCCCCTTCCAGTTCCCACTTGTGTCCCACG